CGCCCCCTGGTGGGCTGAGCTGGTCACACACACACACACACACACACACATAAATAAATAAATAAATAAATAAATAAATAAAATGTAGCATGATAAGTTAGCTTTGCTGAACACATGGGTAGGACAGAACCCTGGTTTCCAATGAAGGTGAATTAAAATACATATCCAAACATATAATTAAAGTATGTCTTTAATCATGTTCCTTTTCTCATACAGTTGATCAAGTTTTCCTTTTAATGGATTATTCACATTATCAATGCTAGTGTTATTCCTGAGCGAATGATGATTAAAGCCACTCTGGAATCTTTTAATGCTAGAGCTTGTGAGGACCACATGTACTTTGTATTTGGATGCCTAGTTTCATAAAGGAAGAACAAATACTACTCTATCCAGGCGTGGAACATGCCTGTAATCCCAGAGCTCGGCAGTTGAGGCAGAAAGGTCGATGTGAGTTCCAAGACAGCCTGCTCTACATAGTAAGCTCAAGGCAAGCCTGAACACAGAGACTGTTTCTAAATAAATAATTAATTAAAAAGAGATATACAGATAGAAAATGTGTGTTTAAAGCAGCTTTTAAAAGTTGAAGCCACCTGCGTAGACAAGTGCAGGGTCCCAGGTTCGATCCCCAGCACCACAAGCCAGGGTCTGTCCCCAACCCCCATCCCTCCTCCCCCCAGGGTGCACTGAGCCAGTGAGCCAGTGACTGAATCTGGTACGGTGGCGCGTGCCTGTAATCCCAGCACTGTGGAGGCTGAAAACAGGAGGATAACTACAAGTCCAAGCTGGTACAGACCCTGTACCAAATACATACAAAAAAGTTGAAGAATGGTTGTGAATGATGGCATGTGCCTGCAGTCTCAGCTACTATGTAGGCTGAGGCAGAATGACTCCTGAGGCTAGGAGTTCAAGGGCAGCCTGGGCAATTTAGAGGGCTGGGGGTATAATAAGCTCAGTAGTAGAGTGACTGCCTAGCATGGTGGAAGCCCTAGCTTAGGTTCAGTTGCCATTACTAAACAACAACAAATGCAGGAAGATATATCATTAATTAAAAAAAGAAAGCCTAAACTAATTAACCTCTCTCTGTATATACTCTGTATACAGTAATCCCTCACTATTTCGTGGTTTGACTTTTGTGGACTCACTGTTTCACAGGTTTTCAAAAAATATTAATCTAAATTATCATGGATTTTGGGCTATATCATGGGATTTCGCAGTACCATACAGTACACGTATGTTGTTAAGTATGCTGTTAAAATCATGTAGGTTTACAAGTTTAGAAAACGGTTAAGGACATTAGAAGTGTTTTCAGAAGTGTGGGAAGAGTTTATAAGAGTGTGGGAAAGGTTTATAAAGCTTTGAAATATATATAAATACTAAAATAAATATGTCACTACTTGGCTGATTTTCACTCATCATGGGGGTGTCTGGAACATATCCTCCAGGATAAGCGTGGGACCACTGTATAGCTTACAAATCCTATTGTATTTGGAATCCTTCAGGCTAACTCACTTCTGGAAAATTTGAGGTTCACTTGGGACTTTTTCCAACCAACACTTCTAGTAGTTCCTTTTTAATTTTGACAATAGTATATGGAAACAGAGACCTTTTATTGGGTCAAAACTGAGCAGAATATTAAAAGTCATCTGATCGGCCTAAGTGAGCTACTCATTGCTATTTGGTAAGCAGACTGTCCTATTAACAATGGCGATTTTTAAGAATCTTGAGTTTGTGGTGTTTTCACTCTTTTCTTTCCGTGGTGGGGAGGACAGAAGCCTGGGCCTTGGGCACCGAGGCGCATGCTCCCCCGCTGAGCAAGAGCACCATGCCCAGGCCCCTCTCCATTCTTGGTTCTATCCTTGAACTAACAGAACTTACTCCTTCCACACAAAGGCCTTCAATTATTTAAAGATAACTGTTATATCTTTAGCCATTTCTAAGGCTTAATATTCTGTCAATGTCACTTGTAGCCTGAGTTACTGTAAATTCCTTTGTGTAAGGGGTTATGTATTTTTGCATTGTACAGCATTGTTTAGGCATATAAAAGGTAAATTTGGGGCTGG